CTTTCCAACATTACAGCCCCTTCCACTTACTCCTCTTTACAAACTTTGTTCCCTAGCTACACGTAACTGCAATTCACAACCACAGCTGTAATTTCTCACCTCTGATTTCTGCTCCTACTGTGTCAGTGTTCTGCAACTCCTCTCCAACTGTCTACTTTGAGGTATAAAGCAAATGCAATTTCTTTCATGAAAAATCAACTTTTTATGTTATATAACATATTGTTTCAACTATTATTTTAGCTTTCATTTAAAAGCAGCTTTCTTACTCCCTTTGTCTTCACCAGCCTATGTGATCCTTGAAACAAAAGTTCTTAACTCATTGTTCAATGTTCCGCAGATACTAGCACTGAGCTATAAATCTGAATTTACAGCATCGCTTTTTTTTGCCTAGCAAAATTGATCAAGGCCTGTTCAGCCATCATTTCCTCTGGGAAATTGTCCCTTTGCAACTCTCTCATTCATGACATACTTCATTCAACAATTACTAAGTACCTGCCATCAGACCTTGTATTACACACTTTAGAACATTCTTGCCAATATCTGTCAATTGATGGATAGACCAACAAGGGATCAGCACTGTCATGTAGCCAGTAAAGTTGCTGTCTGCACCCACATGGGTGTTGGCTGTGTACTGGCTGCTCTTTTGATCAGCTTCCTTCTGGCCTGAGAAAAGCAGCAAAGGGTAGCTCAAGTGCTTGGATCCTGCCACCTGTGGGGGAAACCTGAAAAAAGCCCCAGTCTCCTGGCTTCACCCTGACCCACCCAGAGCCATTGCAGCCCTCTGGAAAATGAACCAGGAGATGGACGACCTCTTTCTCTCATCCTCCCTCTCTCTGTAATCCTGACTTTCAAATAAACAAACAAATCTTCAAAAACATGCAAACACAATTTAACATATATGAAGGTACTCCAAATAGCTCATTGAAAAATTAAAAGGTGCTTTTTGGTGCCCAAAAAAAAAATGGAAATCCATGTAATTTTTCCATGAACTTTTTAAAGACACTTTTATGTGTGCATTTCAAATATTTTGCCTCAAAAGAAACCTACTCTTTGATATTTCATTAATTTTTTAAAATATTCTCAAAGATATAATAGAATATTATAAGACCTTAAAGGGAATGAAGTTTTGACCTGTGCTGTAACATGGATGAGCACTGAAAACATTATGCAGAAAAAATAAGCCAGACACAAAAGAATACATACTGAATAATTCTACTTTTATGTGGTATCCAGAATAGTTAAATTCACAGAGACAAAAAACAGCAACAGCTTCCAGAAGTTAGAAGCAAGAGGAAATTGGGAGAACTAAGGATTCTGCATTAAGGCATAATGGGAGGGATCTTCAGAATGTTCATGGAAAACGCTGTTCTGGAAAAATATGCTCTAATTTCAAACAGCTTTTACACTAAATTTATCTTTCAATTCCACTTTCTAAAAACATTCTGAGGTATTCTTACCTATGTGTATTTCTCCTGTTCCACCATTGTACACCTAGACTGCAAATGGTTGAGGGCAAAACCATGTATTATTCATGTTCATACACCCGGTCCTAGAACAGTTTCTTGCACAAAGATAATTTTCTTAACTTTACAGCTGTCACAAAATAGACTGCATGAAAAAGAAAATACCCACTCCCTAGGACTAAAGCACCAGCCCTTTCTGAAAGATGCTAGTCAATGAATTGGAACTCCTACATGTAAATATATCCAATTGAACCAGGTAACATTTAAGGAATAATTTTAGCTGTAGGACTCAAGCATCAAAACGTTTATGAAGGCCCTAGACTAGGAAGGAAGAAGAAGAAGGAAGAAGAAGAAGAGAAACGCGGTGTGTGGTGGTAGGGGAGAATAAGAACCAGTACTGTGGTACAGCAGATAAAGCCACCACCTGTGATGCGGGCATCCCATATCAGCACCGGGGATCAAGACCCAACTGCTCCACGTCAGCTCCCTGCTAATGCCTCTTGGAAAGCAGCAGAAGATGGCTCATGTGCTTGGGCCCCTGCACTCACAGGGGAGATCCCAAAAAGAACTCCTTATTTTGGCTTGTCTTAGGCCCAGTTATTGCAGACATTTGGAGAGTGGACCAGCAGATACTGTATCTCTCTCTTCTCTTTCTCTCTGTAACTTTGACTTCAAATAAATAAATGAATCATTTAAAAAGAGAGACAGTTTGGATATTAGAAGTTAGGTTAGAAATCAAGGAAATTAGCATATTCCTTACATCAGTGTTTTATTACTACGTGAGATATTGAAGATAAGCTTATTGGCTTATTTTCACTTTTTTAAAAGTACTCATTATTTATTTGAAAAAGAGAGAATAAGAAAGACAGATCTTTATCCACTGTTCCATTCCTCAAATGCTAACACCAGCCAGGGCTGGACTGGGACAAACCCAGAAGCCTGGAACCCAATCTGAGTCTCCCACGTAAGTGGCAGTGACCCAGGAACTTGAGTCATCCCCTGCTGCCTCTCAGATCGGGCTTTAGCATGAAATTGGAATTGGAAATAAAACTTGAAACCAGGCACTCTAACACACAATGCAGGTCTCCCAAGCAGTGTCTTAACCACTGCACCAAGCACCCACAGCTATTTCAGCTCTTGGTTTTGGAGATTCTTAACCTAAGACTCGTGGTCCCGTTGTTTTGATTTCTGGAAATGGTATTCTTGCTGCAAAGTCATAAAGTGGCACCAGTGCATCACATGAAGAAAGAATGTGTATGTCTATTTTTCTTTATGAAGCCATCACAATGTATTTTATCATAGGGTCCCTCCCTACTAATTTAACTCTATCCAATCACTTCCCAAAGGTTTCCATCTGTAAACACCATAACTGAATTAAAGCACTTCAAGTGCCATCAACATAAGACTCTGGAGACTGATTATTAATAAATAGGCCTTTGAGTGATATCCAAACTGTAACAGCTTATCGAAATGGCAAGATCAAATAGGCAATTGTGTATGGATATCTGGAGCTCTGAAAGTCAGAGCTGGAGATGAGGCTTATGCATTAATACCATATAGTAATACATTCAAGGCAAGGAAGAGGACAAGCTCACCTTGAAAGAATGAATACAGAAAAGAAGGCTAAAAAGTGAACCCTGGCATACTTAATATTTAGATATTAAGCAAAGGAGTGGCCTAGAGTTAGGAAGAAAGTCGGGAGACTGTGATGTCATAATAGCTAAGACAAAAAACCATTTCCAGGAAGAAGAGCCTATGACTAATGCTGCTCAGAGGTCAAGCAAGGTAAGAAGGGAGAAGTAGTTATTGGCTTAGCAGTCCCTGTAGAGTGGTAGAGAGAGCCTGGTTGGAATGGAAAAAACAGCTGTGTTCAGTGAACCACTAGAGAACATTAATAATTCCTCAGCAAATTCAAGTGCTACAGTATTAACTTCTTAATGTATTTACCAGAAACTAACATAGCACCTTCAAATTTCTAACATAAAATATGATATGATTTTTCCTGAAGACAGCAGACTGGAAATGCAGAGAAGACTGAAAATATGAGTTAGAATCTTTCCTTTGCCACTTGCTAGTTATTAATGTCATTAATTAGTGCCTTAGGCATAGTAAGCCTCAATTATCTCATGTATAAAATGGGAATAATTCCTACTTTACAAGGTTGCTGAGAGGAATTACAGATATTGCATATAAAGTGCTTAGCACAAGGGAATGAGCTGTTATTATTGTTAATATTCTCATTAGAAAGTTAAATTTTTAAAAATAATAATAAATGCAAGCATAGCTAACATAGTTTCTCTTAATCTTTCTGACTTTTATTTTTATTGGAAAGCCAGACTGACAGAGAGAAGGAAAGACAGAGATCCACTCGCTGCTTCTTTCCCCAAGTGACCACTATGACCAGTCTGAAGCCAGGCACCAGGAGCTTCTTTCAGGTCTCCCACATGAGTGCAGGGTCCCGAGGCTTTGGGTCATCCTCCAATGCTTTTGCAGGCCACAAGCAAGGAGATGAATAGGAAGTGGAGCAGCAAGAATATGAACCAGTGCCATATAGGAACCTGGTGTGCACAAAGTATTTAGACACTGAACCATTGCACTGGGTCCTTTTCTTACTCTTCTTAAAACATATATCCCAGTCTTTGTAAAAAGTAGGAGCTGCTGCTACGGCATAGTGAGCCACTCCACTCCAATCTAGCTCCTTGCTTATGACCTAGGAAAGCAGAGAGCACAGCCCAAGTGCTTGGGCCTCTACACTTACATGGCAGGCCCAGATGAAGCTATGGTTCATACCCAGTCAATCAGGCCATTTGGGAAAGGAGCCTGAGGACTTCTCTCCATCACTTAAAATATTCTATCATGCCTACATGGAGGTCATGTGTCAGGCTGAGAACTGCTTTACCTTCTACATAACCTCATCAGCCAAAATTCTGTTAAGTTCTACATTATGAAGTCTGTAGTAAGGAAAACAAAAGGGCCCAGTGCAGTAGCCTAGTGGCTAAAGTCTTCACCTTGCACATACCAGGATCCCATACAGGCACCAGTTCATATCCCGCTGCTCAACTTCCCATCCAGCTCCCTGCTTGTGGCCTGGGAAAGCAGTGGAGGACAGCCCAAAGCCTTGGGTCCCTGCACCCACAGGGGAGACACAGAAGAAGCTCCTGGCTCTGAATCAGCTTAGCTCGGCCGTTGCAGTCACTAGGGGAGTGAACCAGCAGATGGAAGATTGTTCTCTCTGGCTCTCCTTCTCTGTAAATCCGACTTTCCAATAAAAATTTAAATAATAATAATAAATATGTAAAAAGAAAATAACAGTTACTAGAGGCATAGATTCTTCCAAAAGCTTAGGCTGTACCTATGACTTCTACTTCATTTGGAAGGCCAACCATGTATACCCTTACAATCAGAGATAGCCTTTCCATTTTACTGTTACATTAAAAATAGCCCTTTTATACAAGATATTTCAGTATTTAATATATAGGGAAAAAGACAGTTAAAAAAAAAAAAAGCCAAGCAACTGAAAATTATGTAATTACTTACCGCAAAGTCAAAGTATAATCCCCCTGCATCTTGGTTGAGGCATCTCGGACCAAGAAGGTACCATCTGGCATGTCTCGTAATTTGTCATTTACTTCCTCTCTGAAGAAGAGAATTACAGGAAATATGAAAAATCGTAAGCAGCACTGGTTACCTTCATACGTTATTACTCAGGTCAGTTGAAAGGTAGATATGTCTAGTTAAAAAAATTGCGGCAGACTTCAGAAATCACTTGGTTCCTTCCCCTGGAACATCCAGTTCTAATGCTTGATGTTACACAATCTAAGGAAGGGTTTTCAAATGCTTCTAGATTTCAGCTGTCTGCAGGGGATAATGTTTCCCGTAAGTCTTGAAGAATTCCTTAAACAAGTCTTAACTTACAGAGCTTCAGGAAAACCCAACAGCTGCAAAACAAGGTTATATTCAAGTAATAGGGAGAGCCGATTTTTAACAGAGAAGAAAAATTTTTGCAAAGTTCACAACCTTTCAATATAATATTCTCTACTATGAGTTCATTCTTACAACAAATTTGCTCTGTGGAGTTTGTTTAGGACTTTGAAGAACAATACTAGAACTTTCAAAGGAAATGGCGAGGCATAAAAACTGAATTAAAGTAGAATCACATGAACTTAATTTATGAATTTGAGGGGTCAGCATTGTGGCACAATACATCGTCACTGCCTACGACATCGGCAACCCATATGGGTGCTGGTTTGAGTTCCAGCTGCTCTACTTTCAATTCAGCTCCCTGATGGTGTGCCAGGAAGGTAGCAGAAGATGGCCCAAATACTTGAGGCCCTGCACTCACATGGGGGACTGGAATATAGTTCCAGGTTCCTGGCTTTGGTCTAGCTCAGTCCCAGTCACCCAAGTCATTTGAGAAGCAGCCCAGCAACAGAGAGAAATCTAGCTCTGTTTCTATCTCTATCTTCCTGTAACTGCCTTTCAAGTAAATAAATCGTTAAAATAAAACAGAAACTTTCTGGTCCATTTTGGCAAAATATTCTAAGACCATGTCAAAAATAAACACAAAATAATCAAACAATACAGCAATTCCACTTCTAGATAAAAAACACAAAATACACCGAAGACAAGGACTCAAGTAGATATGTATACACCAAAGTTCACAGCAGAATTAAAATAGACAAAAGCTGGAAACAAACCAAATGTTCATAAAATTCAAATGCTCAGATGAAAGGATAAGCAAAAATGTGGTATGCACATGTAGTAATCATTATCCAGCCTCAGAAAGTGCTTAAATCCTGACATATGCTACACACAAAATGAATGAACCTTAAAGAAATGTAAAGTAAGAAAAATAAGCCAGTCACAAAAGGACAGATACTACACAATTCCGGTTATATCAGATACTCAGAGTAGCTGATTCATAAAAACAATGTTAGATGACAGTGGTGAAGGGAAGGCAGAATGAGAAGTTATAATTTAATGGGTACAGTGTTTCAATTGGGGAAAGTTCCTAGGATGGATAGTAGTGGTGGTTTCACAACAATGTGAATGTACTATATACTCAAAATGGCTAAAATGGTACTTTGATAGCAGGAAAAAATAAAGAATGAAAGCAGAACAAGTATGCTGAGGAAAACAGCATAAGACTTTGTGACCTGATTTGGCATAAATTGATTTTATAAAGAGAAAACATATTTGAGACCCAATTAAACAGAGTATAATGAGAAAAATAAATAAGAACCTATATTAAAATTTAAATGTATATTAATATATACATGTATATTTGTGTACACAATGTACATACAGGTCTTCCAAAAGTTCTTAGAAAGTTTATATGTGGGTACTTTTAAAAATTCATGGAAAATAGAATTAAAATATCATTTTGGTGCATATAGACTTGATAATTTTATCATTTTACCTTATTTTATTTTATTTTTTATTTTTATTTGAGAAGCAAAGAGAGACAACTTCCATTCACTTGGCTCACTCCCCAAACATTCATAGGGCCATTGTTGAAGCCAAGAGTTAAGAGCTTGGTTCATGTCTCCACATGGGTGGCAGGGACCCAATTATTTAGGTCACCACCACTGCCTCCCAGCACCTGCATTATCAGAAAGCTGTAGTCAAGAGCTAGAGTTGGAAATCAGTCCTAGGAACTTCAATGCAGGACATGAGCAGCTTAACCAACATCTTAATTGCTAGGCTAAATGTTCATCCCAACGTACTAATTCAGTGTCTAATGACAGAAATGTGCTTCCTTGAGAACGACTGAGCACCTATCACCTGGGGTCATAAAGGCAGAGACCATGTACTTGTTTAAGTAGCCACATATTATTTTTTTTTAAAAAAAAACTATGCATGGAATTCACGACAGCTGACAGCAAAATAAACTTACCTTTAATTAATATTCCATGAACTTTTTAAAAATGGCTCAGTTATTTTTTTTAGCACATACTGAAATTAATTAATTTATTTTTATTTATTTTAATGTAAAAAAGAGAGAGAGAAAAACACTCTTCTATCTGCTTATCTACTCCCAAAATGCTGGGCCAGGACAGGCTTAGGAGACCAGAACTCACGGGTGGCTGGGACTCAAATACTTGAGTCATCATTCATTGCCTCCCAGGGTGCACGTAGGCAGAAAGTTAGGTCAGCTGTCAGGACATGACTCATCTCAGGCACTTCGAAACAGCACAGGCATCCAGACCGTCCACCTAACCCACCGCAACAGAGCATCTGGCACTTCATGAACCTTTTATGATCTATATTATATATGCATATCATTATTATATAAAATCTCAGGTTAAAAAAGTATTCCAAACCACCATTTTACCCAACAAGGAAACCCTAGACTTCTGGATCTCAAAGTGAGTTTTGTGAAGAGTATGCATCAAAATCACTTAGGGTGGTTTTTAAATGCAGATTGCAAGTTCCATCCTCCATTGATTTTTGTATATGCAAGGATTTTAGAACCACAGCTTTGGAGAAAGCAAATTAAGATGATGTAAGCATCAAAGCTATCTTTTATTTCAAACACATGTAACCATTCAAAATATGTTTAATTTATTCAAAAATTTATCCCTAAAATAGTTACTAAAAGTAAAGGTTGAGGTCAGTGCTGTGGCAAAGCAGATAAAGCCACCACCTGTAGTGCCCGTGTTCCATATGGGCTATTGTGAGTTCCAGCTATTCCACTTCTGATTCAGGTGTCTGCTAACGTCCCTGGGAAAAGCAAAGGAAGAAGGCCCGACTCACGCACACGAGGCCCAGAAGAAGCCCCTGGCTTGTGGCTTCAGCCTGGCTCAGCCCTAGATGTTAAGGCCATTTGGAGAGTGACCCAGCAAATAGAAGACCTCTCTGTCTCCTCTCTAACTTGGCCTTTCAAGCATACAAAATAAATCTTAAAAAGTAATAACTGCATCCATAATTTAAAGATATTCCTAATATTTTTTCATAGGAAGAATATCTAGACATTTAAAAACTATTCCCACAATATACTTGAAATATTTTAAAAAAATTTTTTTACTACACAGTCAGATATACAGAGAGGAGGAGAGACAGAAAGGAAGATCTTCCACCCAATGATTCACTCCCCAAGTGATTGCTACAGCCAGTGCTGCACCGATCTGAAGCCAGGAGCCAGGAACCTCTTCCAGGTCTCCCATGTGCGTGCAGGGTCCCAAGGCTTTGGGCTGTCCTCAACTGCTTTCCCAGGCCACAAGCAGGGAGCTGGATGGGAAGCCAGGCCACAGGGATAGAACCAACGCCCATATGGGATACCAGCACATGCAAGGTGAGGACTTTAGCTGCTAGGCTCTCTCACCATGCCCAAAATAGTTTTGGATCTTTTTTTTTTTTTTTGTAAGATGTATTTTTATTGAAAAAGCAGATTTATAGAGGAAAGACAAAGAGAAAGGTCTTCCATCTGCTGGTTCACCCCCCAGATAGCTTCAGCAGCCAAAACTGAGTCAATCTGAAATCAGAAGGCAGAAGCTGCTATGTCTTCCACATAGGTTCAGGGACCCAAAGACTTGAGCCATCCTCTGTTGTTTTCCCAGGCCATAAGCAGGGAGCTGGCTCAGAAGTGGAGCAGCCTGGATATGAGCCAGCATCCATAAGATGTGCCACAGATGGAGACTTAGTTTACTATGTCACAACACAAATCATAAAATGGTATTTTAAAATAATAATGAGAAAGACATTAAAATCTTTCAAATGAGGCCTGAGTTGTGACACAGTAGAACATCAGCATCTCATTTCAAGTCTCAGCTGGTACACTTAAATTCAATTCCACGCTAATGACCTGGGAAAATCAATGTAAGATACCTCAAGTATCTGAGCCCCTGTTACCCACGTCAGAGACCTGGAAGAAGCTCCTGGCTCCTGCTTTCAGCCTAGCCCAGTCCCAAACACTGCAGTTATTTGGGACTGAACCTACATAGGCTCTGTAGCATTTTCTCTTTCCCTTCCTCTTTCTTATTTTACATAAATAAATCTTTAAAAACACATAAATTGAGACCGATCTGATGGCTCAATTGCCTAATTCTTTGCTTATAAGTGCCAGCATCAGATATGGGCACTAGTTCACGTCCCAGCTGTTCCACTTCCCATTCAGCTCCCTGCTTACACCTTGGAAAAGCTCCAAGAAATGGCCCAAAGCCTTGGGAATCTGCACCAATGTGAGAGACCCAGAAGAAGCTCCAGGCTCCTGCCTTTGAATCAGCTCAGCTCTGGTTGTTGTGGCCATTTGGGGATTGATTCACCAAATGAAAGATCTTTCTGTCTCTTTCTCTCTGTAAATCTTCCTTTCTAATAAAATAAATCAATATTTTTAAAATATATTACATATAGAATTTTTAACTATAAATTCTCAAAAACTATCTTCAAAAACTGTATTCAAATACAGAAGCATTCTAGTTACCTTGAAATATCCCCCCAGTACCATTCTGCATCCTGAAGAGAAACAGAACTGTCCTTCATTCCATTTGTAACTGCTGAAGTCATTGGCTTAGGTGGCTTTGGTGGAAGAGCTAGAAGAGAAATAAGTATTATTTTATAGACATACATTATTATTTTCCAATTTCTTTAGTAAAAACAACTCATTACCAACATACAATAACATTCAAATGCTTCTTAAGAACTATTTTAAACTAAATGTTAGCCAAAGAATTAATCCTTTTTGAACTCTATCAATACTGCAAAGGAGAAATTTCAAGATACTTGATTTTTTCCTTCTTATAAAATACTTTCCATAAAACATCACTGCCTCTCAAAAGACAATGTGAAGTCCCTTTCCAAATATACATTGCAAACTCCACAAAATAACTAATGTGCAGTTTGACAACTATAGAGGGCACTTAAAAACATTCACAGAGGGGCTTGACATGGTAGTGTAGACAGTTATTCCTCTGCCTATGGTGCCAGCATCCCATATGTGATGTGTGCTGGTTCATGTCCCACTGCTCCACTTCTGAGCCAACTCCTTGATAATGGCCTAGGAAAGCAGTGGAGGACAGCCCAAGGGCCTGGATTCCTACACCTCTATGGGAGGCCTAGAAGAAGCTCCTGTTTCCTAACTTCAGACCAGCCCAGGTCTGGCCATAGCAGCCATTTGGGAAGTGAACCAGCAAATGCAAGATGTCACTGTCTCTCCTGCTCTTTGTAATTCTGACATTCAAGTAACATAAATAAATCTTGGAGGGGAAAAAAAGTAGAATTAAAAGTTTATTTTGTTGCAAAAAAAAATCTGAAATCACCATTTTCATATCTGAAGATCCCATATGCATATTTCAATACTTTTTTGTAACAAAACGTAATCTTATGTTATCACAAATTTCTTGAAGTACCCTCATATAATTACTGTTGTTTACTATTGATTTACCAAGAATAGATTTGATGTACTCTTACCATATAATAAAAAGGTAATTATATCGGATGAAGAATATGTTAATTTTCTTGACTACAGTAACTACTTCATTATGTATATCAAGATAGATAAATTAGAAGATCATTTTGTACAGTACATCTCCCTGAAATCATTCAGGTATGGTACTGAAGTTGAATGAAGTAACAAGGGCAGCAGATCGGGGCTAGGACACAGCATCCTGGAGATCAAACAGAGAAAGAGGTAATGCTGAGAGGTAGGCAGCTTGATGCAGTGCTACAGAACTGATTTAGGTAAGAAAAGGTTTCTACCTGGATAGGTAGAGTCAGAGAGAACGCAGCAATAGCTCTAAGAGATTGGGTACATATAGAAGGAAAGATCAAATAAATAACACTATTAACAACAGACAAGAGGAACCAGATTTCTCACAGTCTAAAAAGTAAGTTACAAATATGAAAAGATTTTAAAAATAGAATGAATCATCTGGTATTGGATTGGAGCTTCAAGATGTTGATATAAACACACAACTTTCAATATACAGAGATACAAAGTAAATGGAGGGGCAGGTGTTCAGTGATCAGGATGCCCCATCCGATGCTGCAGTGTCTAGGTTCAATGCCCTACTCTGGGCCCTGATTCCAGCTCCCTGTCAGTGTAGACCCACGCAGGCAGCAATGATGACTCAAGTACTTGGCTTCTTAGTACCCATGTGGGATATCTGGATTGAGCTCCCAACTCCCAGTGTCTGTTCTATCCAGTCCTAGTCACTGCACCATTTGGAGAATGGACCAGCAGCTAGATCAGTCTCTCTTTCTCTCTCTTTCTCTGTGACAGACAGAAATAAATTTTTTAAATGGGTGTAAATGTCTATAAGTGGAGGGAATATACACATTTCCTAATTCTATAGAAGCAGCCAACGCCCTAATATGTACTTCTAAAGCCAGATCGTGGCTTGTAATGCCATTATCTATTAGATGGACCAAAGGCTCTTTAGAGAAATGACCAATATCAGCATCAGGGCAGAAAATGCAACAAATTAGCCTTGAGCTTCATGTCAACAGGGGCCAAGTCAAAAGGATAAGGAAGTAGGGTTAAAGGGCTTTCCACTGGACAAATCTAAAACAACTGCAGTATCATTGAACATTACGATAGTAAAAGAAAACAACTCAGGCCTAGTGTGGTAGCCTAGCAGCTAAAGCGCTCACCTTGCATGTGCTGGGACCCCATATGGGTACTAGTTCTGGTCCCAGCAGCCCTCTTCCCATCCAGCTCCCTGTTTGTGGCCTGGGAAAGCAGTCAAGGATGGCCCAAAGCCTTGGGACCCTGTACCCACAGAAGATCTTCCTCTCTGTCTCTCCTCCTCTCTGTATATCTGACTTTCCAATAAAAATAAAACAAATCTTTAAAAAAAGAATACAACTCATTAATTAAACAAAACAGGAATCTAAGGGGCTATGCAGCTATAAATAGACGAAAAACAGAAAGACTGATAATAGATCTATATAGTTATCTCAAAACACTGTTCCACAAAAAGCCTATTAATCACAAAAAGAAAGAGAATAAAAAATTAGTAAAGAAACCTGGTGAATATCACTTTAATCAAGCAATCAAGATTAATACCACGAGCAATGGTAAAATCATGGACCCTAACAGGACGCACTGAGAAAGACATATCATTTCTGTGATACTCCTACCAAATATGCATAAAACCAACTTAATTAAGAGGAAATATTCCACAAGGCACAAATGAAAGACCTTCTACAAAACAGCTCCTAGCCTGTAACCTTCAAAATTATAAAGATTAGGGCCTAACGCAGTAGCCTAGCAGCTAAAATCTTCACTTTGCATAAACCAGGATCCCATATGGGTGCTGGTTCTAGTCCTGGTGGCCCTGCTTCCCATCCAGCTCCCTGCTGGTGTCCTGGGAAAGCAGTCGAGGACAGCCCAAAACCTTGGGACCCTGCACCTTAATGGAAGACCATGAAGAGGCTCCAGGCTTCTGCCTTCATGTCAACTCAGCTCTGGCCGTTGAGGGCACTTGGGGAGTGAATCCAAAAGAATTTTTATTTCCAATAAAAACAAAATAAAAATTATACAGATCATAAAAGTCAAAGAAAAAACAAACAAATGTTTCACATTAAAACACAAAAAAATGACAAATGCAGTTTGTGACTCTAGATTGGATCCTTTTGATAGGACAACAGACAAAACTTGCACGGGATCTGAGGATGACATGGTAATAAGGCACTGACATTAATTTTCTAATTTTGATGGCTGTGTTATAGCTATGTGGAAAATTGGAGGGGGAAAGATTGATCTGAAAAAAATTGTAACGAAGCAGAAACAGAGAAAGATCTTCCATGCATTGGTTCATTCCTGACATGGAATCAAGAATGCTGCCTTCCTAGGCACCATTAGAAGGGAGCTAGATGGGAAATGGAGTAGCCGAGACTCAGACAATAATATGGGATATTAGCACCACTGTAGCAGCATAACTCACCGCAGCACAAACTCAGCCCAGCATTATTTATTTTTTTAATCATTTGAGAGCTAGAGCATGAGGCCCACAACAGTCTAGGCTGAATCAGGGCCAAATCCAGCAGCTGGGAACTCAGTCCAGGTCTCCTACATGAGTGGCACGGACCTTATTACTTGAGCCATCACTGGTGCTTCCCAGAAATCTGCATTAGCAGGTATGCGGAATCAGGTGTTCCCAAATAGGATTTATGCATTTTAACCTTCATCTTGAATACTCTGCTATACACCTACCCCAGGAAAATGTTCTCATTTGTAGTTAATAAGCACAAACACAGTCATCCTAGCAATCTTACTTTGAAATGATTCAGAAGCTGCCATTCCCATATGGGCCACTGATTCAGGTCCTGTCTGTTCCACTCCCCATCCAGCTGCCTGCAAAAGGCCTGGGAAAGCAGAAGACAGCCCAAGTGTTTGGGGCCCTGCACTTATAGGAGAGACTTGAATGGAGCTCCTAGCTCCTGGCTTCAGCTTGTTCCAGTATTGGCAACCAAAACCACCTGGGAATGAACCAGAAGATGGAAGTTCTCTGTCTCTTCCTCTCTCTCTAAATAAATCTTTGTTTAAAAAAGGTTCAATACAACAGCACCTGGCACGGTAGCCTAGCAGCTAAAGTCCTCACCTTTCCCATGCTGGGATTCCATATGGGCACCAGTTCTAATCACGGCAGCCCTGCTTCCCATCCAGCTCCTGCTTGTGGCCTGGGAAAGCAGTTGAGGATGGCCCAAAGCCATGGGACCCTGCACCCATGTGGGAGGTACGGAAGAAGCTCGTGGCTCCTAGCTTTGGGTTGGTGCAGCTCCAGCCGTTGCGGCTGCTTGGGGAGTGAATCAGAGAATAGAAGCTCTTCCTCTCTGTATATCTGACTATCTGATAAAAAATAAAATAAACCTTTTTTAAAAAAATTCATAAAAACAAAGTTCTTTGAACTCTACTCACAACTGTTTCACCTTCCCCCCCACCTTTTTTTAATTTAACAACAACAAAATGGGAGCTATCTCAGTAGAAAAAGAGAACAAGGTGAATATATTCCTCAAAACAGAAGTCTCTTAGAGTGAAATGACTTTAAACAAGATGCCAAGAATGGAAAATCGGTTTTTAAACAAATGGTGTTAAACTATTCCCACACAAACAGAAAGTTAGGCCCCTACCTCAACTAAAAATGGATTAAAAATGGTCTGAAACCAGAATCTTAGAAAACAATGTAGGTACAAATCTGACACCTTGGAAATTATTATGTACAAGCACAAACCAAAGAGAAAAACAGATCAAACTGTATCAAAATTAAAAATTGTGCTACTGGAGCCAGTGTGCTCATCTTCTGATGTAGCACTGGCATCCCACATGGGTGTCAGTTTGTGTCCTGGCTGCTCTACTTCTGATCCAGCTTCCAGCTAACTGTCCAAGAAGACAGCATACAATAGCCTAGTGCATTGGGGTCCCTACACCAATGTGAGAGAACGAGAAATCCCATCAGCCCAGCTGTGGCAATGGCAACAATTTGGGGAATGAACCAGCAGATGGAAGATCCCTCTCTCTCTGTCTTGTGTTCTCTCTCAGTAACTCTGCCTTTCAAATAAAAACAAATAAATCCTTCAAAAACAAATCACC